CACAATTTTCAATTAAATAATCGCATTTCACGAGTGCATCTTTGTCCTCGTAGTGAAGCCAACAACAAGCAGTACCTGGAAGTTATCGCTGTGGTGTTGGTACAGATCTTGGACGGAGAGATTATATTAGGTTAAAAACAGTAGAGATCTACTTATGTTAAAAAAAAACAAACAAAAACGAAACACTGCTGTTTCCTGGAGCCTTTAAAAATCCAATCAACCCTCTGCTGCCTCCCTGAGCATCTGCCCTGTGTCACTAAAGCCGGTCCACCCATCTCTTGGACTGGCTTATGTTCCTCACAGGGTGCTCGCAGCTCATGTGCTGCACACAGTGCATTTCCCCCACAGCCGGACTGTGAGCTCCTCTCAGCTGTCTGGTTCAGGGGTCGACTGCTCTTTGCGCTGAAAGGCTGCTACCATCCGCTCGCGGCCCTTCTGCAGCGTGAATTCGCTCGGCCCAAGCTGGGTGATCTTCCCACTGCCCAAACACTCGTCCCCTTTGTAGAGCACGGCAAACTGTGGAAGGAAAACAAGAACACTCCGATAACACAAAGAAGCCACACATGTAGTGTGATGTTACAGAACAGTCCTGAACACGTTTGCCGCTACCTGTCCAGGTGTCAGAGCTCTGACTGGCTGGGAGAGCAAAATCCACACAGAGCCGTCCATGTTCAGAGTTACTGTGCAGGCAACTGGAACGCACAGTTGAAGCTGTGTTTAATGCTTGGGCTGATTTTCAGTCGGCATTAATAATCTTCTCGCAGGCACTGATAACACAGAACTCACCGAGCGGCATCTGGTGGATGAAGCGGAAGTGACAATCCATCATTTGGGTCCTGACTAGTTCGGGGGGCGGGTCTTCTGTTACCCAGTGGAAACGCTCCGTTCGCACGGTGTCGCGGAAAAGAGCTGGGTGATTGGTTGTCGGAGCCTGAGCCACAAGAGGTGTAACAAATCAAGTACCCGATTAAAAATGGTCACGAATTGCAACACGTTGCTCAAGAAACACCAAAGATGAATACGCTGCCTCCTACAGGGAGTTACAGGTATTACCATCCTCTGTTTCATTTTACAAACAAGTCGACACATTCATACGGAGCCCCGCAGGGGACATGGGAGGAAAAAAATTAAGACGGACTTTTGCGAGATCTCGCAAAACTAACTCGGGATCTCGCAAAATTTTTAGCCGCATTCTTCCCATTAGCTCGAAGCTAACGGTAGGTCGAGACCTCCCGTTAACTCGTCGAGACCTACTACAGCCGGGAGGAACACCGCTTTCCCGGCACATCGTGCCTCGACCTCCCGGTCGGCTTCGAGCCAGCGTCCGAAGAATGAGGCTAAAACGTTTGCGAGATCTCGCAAAAGTTTTGCGAGATCTCGCAAAAGTCCGTCTTAATTTTTTTTCTCCCATGTCCCCTGCGGGGCTCCGTACATTCATTAACATTAAAACTGGAAAAAAAAAATCGCTCCTAATTGTAAGGGAACATCAGGAGAATGTTAAGATGGATGCGTTGACATTTGATAACTTAAACACAGATGTTCTCACCACAAACACATCTCCAGTAACGATGTCTTTGTCCACCACAAACCAGGCGTCTCTCTGCCCGCCTATCCTTGCCCTTTGGCCCAGTGTCAGTGTGAACCAACCTGTATGGACAGAAACACATAAGAATATGAGAAAAGAAGGGACAAACAGGTGTCTGATAGTTTTATACATGCGCATATGGACCAAAACAACCTCTGTAACCTTTAACATGTGACTGCATGGGAAATAATTTGACTTTGAAGTCAGCCTCATGTGGCCATTTGAGGAACTGCATGTTTCAGCACTTCACACGTTGCTTTGTTTTTAGCTCCCGAGAATGCTGCCTGACTATAATACAGTTTAGTCAGGTGTACAGTAGTGGCACACTTTTATTTATTTTTTTAAAGAGATGTTTACAAACACACCTTTGTGGGTTCCCATTACAGTTCCATCCTCAATGGAGACAAAGTTCCCAGGTTTGGGTTCCAGATACTGAAAATAGAAACAAAGCAGCTGAAGATGTCCTAAATCCTTTGAAAATGAGGTACTTTTGCCATGTGAAATAAATACTTACCTCCAAGATGAAGTTTTCAAAGTTTCTCTCTCCAATAAAGCAGATACCCATGCTCTGAAACGACACGCCAGTCAATTTAAATCCTGTGTTCCTCTCCTCTCTCCTTATTAAAGTCTGTAATATATTTGAGCACCTCTTTCTTCTTCAGCACATGGTGAAACCCGGCCTCAGCAGCCATCTTTTTCACAAATTCTTTGGTGAGTCCAGCGAGCGGGAACATGGTTTGTCGTAAGGCTTGTTGTGGGATCTGACTGAGAAAGAAAGTCTGGTCCTTGAGGAGATCGGCCCCTTTGTACAGCTTCACAGCTGGTGATGGGAACGCAAGAAAAAAAGACAAACTTCACTCGCAGAAACAAAAACAGTGGGAATTAGTGTAAAAGTCAGAGATATAAGAGGTATAAAGGGAAAGTCACACTTACGATTTCGGATCTCAAATCGATCTCTGAACAGCGTGGTGGGCGGAGCTGTGTGAGCCTGTTCGAAAACTTCATCATCTTCCTGTGATGTCCTGGCATAGTGGCCTGTTGCCATGGCATCAGAACCTACAGGAAACAATGTGTCTCTTGGAGTGTGTCTGAGACTTAAGTGATCATATTTTATATTTCAACCAATAAGCATGAGAATGAAAATAAAACAGCGTACCCAGGGTGTCGATGGCATATTTGTGGAAGTGGTTAAATTTGATGTGCTTGTTGCATAGTATGTCTGGGTTTGGTGTTCTTCCTCTCTCATATTCCTTCAACAGATTACTGCAAACCAGACAGAGAAACTGCATTCAGTGCTCAACACTGGATAAAAAAAAAACAAGTACAAAATTTGAGAGATTCCACATTCTGATCCTAGTTTTTGTTCTAAATCTCATTGAAGTCAATATCAATTTTAAATGTAAATCAGAACATTTTTCCTTATCAGGAATCCTGGAAGCTCACCTCATATTGCACTTTTTAAGCTCTTCCAGCATGCACACAGTTGTTGCACATCTGCAAGCCACTTTGCAACCAGCCTCCAACTGAGCCCCTACTTTTTAATGCTGCATATGAACATTGTAGATAGCATGTTGGTTTGATAGTTAGTGCTGTTGCCTCACAGCAGGAAGGTAATGAGTTCAAATCCACTGACCAGCTGGGGAGGAAGCCAGGGAATCGGGAGTGAACCCACATAGGATTTATGTGGCGTCTGCACGTTCTCCTCGTGCCTGCATGGGTTCTCTTTGGGTACTCTGACTTCCTCCCACATTTCACAGGCACACTTTAGGTTAACTGGTGATTCTTAATTGGTCGTAGGTGTGAATGGTTGTCTGTCTGCCTGGATGAGCTGTCCAGGGTGTAACCTTCCTCTTGCCTTATGACAATTGGGACAGGTGGAACAAAACAGGGAATAGATGTAGCCCTCTCTTCTGCGCTGACTGCCACCTACAGATTTCCATGCATGTACACAGAAGGGCAGGAAGCCCACACAACAGAAGCATCCAAATATAACTTACTGCACACAGAAATACCTTTGTGTATCGTGGTCCAAATGACCTGCAACTGTCTTTTTAGCAGCTCTTTAAACTAGTATGTTTAGAAACGATATGCTGAAAATCACTCAAAAATGGCATTTCTCAAATTTCATTGGAGATGGCGGCATCTGTAATGGACAAAGTATGTTGAACACAGCGCCGAAAGGACGATATACAGAGGAGGTGGAAAGGGGGTGGAGGCAGATGATAAGCTGCTGTGAGCCCTAAAGGCAGCAGACAGAAGAAGACAGAAATACCTGAAAACTTCATGCCAGTACTCTTTGACATAGGAGACTTGATGAAAGGGGACATCCAGGCTCTGGCACACTCTGTATGCGTCCTCACAGTCCTTCTCTGTAGTGCAGACCCCCTTCTCATCCAGAGAATCCCAGTTCTTCATAAAAACTCCAGTCACGTTGTAGCCTTCAAACAACACACAATCACAATAAGACTCACTTACAGCTTTACTTTGGTTTTTCTGACTTTATTTGATTGATTTCTTTGATTCGTATACAGCGGCTTCACCCGTCTGGCTAACCTTTTCCTATCACAAAGCCAGTACAGGTGTGCTTCAGTGTTTCCACTGCCAGCTTTTCTCACCTCGTCTCTTCAGCAGTAACGCTGCGACGGAGCTGTCAACGCCGCCAGACATGGCGCACACCACGTGCTTTATCAAAGCCATGTTTTCATATTACTGCAGTCTGGCTTTGAACACTTTCTCGCTCACGAAGCTAGAATATTTCACCCAGCTCCTCCACAGAAGCCGCCATGTTTGCTGTCCGCTCAGCAATAACGTCCGACTTGAAACGCATTTTATGCCGGAATCATCAAGCTGCAGAGGAGGGAGACGAAAAAGTTGTAACACTAAACTTCAAGGAGCTGAGTGAAAACAAATAATAAGGTCTGTGTAAAAAATACCGAACGGAATAAATATACATTTTTGGTTTCGTTTAAAGACGAAACATAGTTGTTTTATATATAATTTAACTTTCACGTTTTTTCCTAATAAATCAGAGGCTCGCGAACTGCTTACAAATTAAATCAACTCAATTCTTTACATTTCCCGATTATTAAAACTGTGAACTCATGGTTGAGAGCTGCATGGTTGAGAGCTACATATTTTCATACATATTAATCCTACAGTAACTGCAAAAATATATTAATTAATTAATTAATGTCTTTTATACGTTTATGTAAAACTAAACTACTGGGCGTGATGATGTTTCTCTTTTTCTGACCCACCCAGATGTGTGAGGTGTCTGCAGACGCTGTCACTCTGGACATGCTAAAAGAAGCGAGAGACACGGTGAGGAGCAGCCCTCTGGGTGTCATCAACACCCCCATGATCGCCTGGAGGCAGACCACCCTGCCTCTCAGCATTGACTGCAACATCCACATCAAACTGGAAAACATGCAGACAACTGGTTGGTGAAACCCACTTTGTTTGGCTTCCCTGACACTTTTCTGCAGGTATTGACTTCCTGTTTTTGAATGACAGGGTCTTTTAAGATCAGAGGAGTAGCCAATCAGTTTGCCAGGAGACCGGCGGGTGGCCGTTTTGTCACCATGTCTGCTGGAAACTACGGCAAGTCGTTTGCATATGCCTCAAAACACTTTGGGTCAAAGGGCAAAGTGGTGATGCCCGAAACCGCCCCAGAGAACAGGTCCATCTTTATACAGGTCAGAGGTTGTTTGTGGCACAGTTAAGCAAAAGACAAAAGCCTTGAAAGTTAAATACAGACAAATAAATTACTTCCTAATAAGTGTGAATTTATTACTTTGTCATTTTCATGGAGTGGTTATTCTTGTCCTCAGAGTTTAGGGGTGGAGGTGGAGCGAGCTCCTACATCCTGTCTGATAAACGTGGTGAACCGTTGTGTTCAGGAGGACAACATGACCTTCCTGCACTCCTTCGATGACCTGGATCTAATTGCAGGGCATGCCAGGTACAATCAGGGCTGGATGCTAGTGCATAAGAGTGCTTCTATCTTCGTGTTTTATTGGTAACAATTACATTTTTAATATCTCTGTCTTTTATTAATTACGTGTGCACATGCATTTAGTCTAGGTATGGAGGTGCTGGAAGTGATGCCGGAGCCTGATGTGGTGGTGGTGTGCTGCGGTGGAGGTGGGCTGCTGGCTGGAGTAGCTGCTGCCATCAAACTGTCAGGTTGCAGTAAGACCAAGATCTACGGCGTGGAGCCAGAAGGAGGTAAAAAGTCACAGACAAACTGATGTTTAGCTTGTTTTTGTGTGCAGAAACTTTAAGTGTGTTTCTGCTTAATGCAGCTTGCACAATGTACAAAAGCTTAATTGAGAAGAAGCCAGTAGGAATGGACAGCAAGAGCATCGCGTCAGGTCTTGCACCACCTTTCGCAGGTAGTTTTTGTCAAATTTCTCTCCAGCATATCTGGCTTGTATATGAACTGTTCTTTTAAAATTCCTTGACTTTCTGTTTGCGATACATGAGAAAATAAAAGAGTTTTCTTGCGCCATCACCAGGCAGGCTGCCCTATCAGCTGTGCCAACGTTACGTGGAGGGGATCGTCCTCGTTAGCGATGAGGAGATCGAGGCTGCCGTGTCCACGCTCTACAGATCCGGGCTGGTAGTGGAGCCATCAGGCTCTGCTGCTTTTGCTGCCATCGTTAACAACAAGATCCCAGAGCTGGAGGGCAAGGATGTTGTGTGCATCCTCTCCGGAGGGAATATCGGAAAAGCCGAGCTTGTGAACTTTCAGGACTGACAAACTACAAATCCGTGCCAGTAACTCTCTCAGATAACAGTCTAGAATAAACATTGTTAATACCCATGTTTTTACTGCTGTCGTAATTCTGCGTCTTTCTGGTATGTTTTTTATATTCTTAAAAGTCTGACAGTGTGAGAAAGTGTGCCGATCAGAATGTGTCGGTAAGTGCTTGACTCTGATTGCTGATTGGGAATGACAGCAGCTCAGCCATGAAGTGGTATAGCACATAACATCACAGAGCGAGGACAGCATATGGTGATGCGCATGGTGTGCAAAGACCACCACCTTCCTGCAGACCTCCAAACTTCCTGGAATAGGTTTCCATGGCTGAGCAGCTGCATCCTAGCCATGGGCGATCGTGGCTCAACATTGTGGGAACTGTTTGCAGATGCCCCCTTTCTGTTCCACCAGGACTGCACACCAGTGCACAAAGAAAGGTCCATAAACACATGAGAGAGTTTGGTGTGGAAGAACCTCAACCTGCTAAAACACCTTTGGGATGAATTAGAGCAGAGACTGCGAGCCAGGTCCTCTCGTCCAACATCACTGTCTGACCTCACAGCTGTGCTTCTGGAAGAATGGTCAAAAATTCCCATAAATCCCTCCTAAACCTTTCCACAAGGTTTGGAGCCTCTTTTCCACTCAAGTTTACATGTGTTTGAAAGCAAATGAGCAAATACTTCTGGCAATATAGTTCACCTCCACCTGTCCATACTGCAAACATCATAGTCCACAGAGAATCCTGCAAACAAGAAGGAGCTAAGTACCCCCGCCCCGCCTTGAACAGATACAGATAATCCCACACTAACACATACCTCACACGACCTGCAGCGCGCTCACTGCCACTCCTTACTTCCTCATGCAGTACCACAGTTCCTCTTTTGACTACCTATCATATGCTTATTTTCCTAGATCCAGAACTCCTGACCTCCTCTATATTTCTGCAGCAACACTCTAAAAACTCTTTCTCAGCACAAAGCCATAACTGCTCTCTGATGGCAGGGACATATTCAAGGATGGCAACTCCAGGAATCGTGCCAGGAGCATCATCTTCAACCTTGACAAAAAATGAATGAAGCTCTGGAAATAAATGCTGTGACACTGCAGAAGCTCATCAAAATGTTGCCCCCGGAGGATGTGTACCATGCTCAGAAGTAAGGGTGGTCCAACAAAATATTCAGAGTGTGACTATTTCTGGATGGACAGTGTAGCTTATTGTGTTACATTTCAAATACTGTGATTCTCATGAACACTTTGTTAATGAATAGTAAATACTTTGTAAACTATAAACATTAACATGATTTGCTGCAGTAGAATGATTATAATGCAATGCTCTGTAATCTATAAGCATCTGAATGGTTAGAATAGTTCCTGGTCCTCCTTCACTACGTCCATGAATCTTCTCTGAGGTCTTCCTCTTTTCCTCGTGTCCCGCAGCTCCACATTCAACATTCTTTATTAAATATTTCTATTATTATCATCAACAGACGTAAAAAGTGCAATTTTGTCAAACCTAACTCCAAACTTTTTAAAACAAACAGCAGATTTATTATTCATGCTTCCCCAGGCTGACAGCCATTGGCTGAAATTTGGCTCGACTGAAGTGCCTTCATGATAGTGCTTCGGGGCATTTGAGCCTTTTTTTTTTTTTTTAAATTATTCAGAGGTCTGGCTGACATCCACCTCAAAGCAATTTGGATTCATAATTCAGCTCTGCTGGCAAGAGAGCAGCTTTACATCGCTGCCCCCATCAGCCAGAAAACTAACCTTCAGTGTACGGAACCAAAAAACACAGTGAATGAAAAAAGTTCAAAGGTAAAATAAAACAAGAAATAGGATGATGCTAAATAATAAGAAACGCAAAGATTTCTCCCTACGTCCTACGACATGGCCGTGGCAAAGAAGAGATAAAAAAGAATAAACAAAGATGAGTTCACTCAAAGGTTTAAGAAAAATAAGATTTATTTTGACTGAGCCCAGTGTACAGAGATCAAGACTGACAATTTCTGTTGGTTTAAACTTAAGAGTGTGCTGGGCTAGTATTAAAAACAGACATAGATCTATTGACAACAGATCTATTGTTAAACTGCTGTGTGGAAAGAAAAAAAAACACATTTTCTCAGATATTATTAGGTATATCCTGGTCTTACAAGGTGTGATCATAAAGTTCTGCAACTCTGCAAAAACAAAAACAGTCCCCCCTCGAAGGTGGTCTCTGGTGCAGCACTGCATGAATCTGTTACATTTGGCATCATTTTAGAGAACAGAGTCGTATCTGGCTGTATGTAACCAGTGGTGAGCTACAATTTGGTTAGTGTGACCAAAAAAATCCCAACCTTTGGTGTTTTACGTCATTTCTACTAAATGCCGTCCCTTGAATGCCTCAGGATATTAGATCCTCGAATAAGTCTGACCTTGGTGCACAACACATGAATGCTGGGAAAAAAATCGTCTAGATCCTGATGCGTTGCTTTTGGATTGTGTGCTGTTTGGTCGGTGGGCTGT